CAGGCAGGTAGGCAGGCAGGCCGGCAGGCAGGCCGGCAGGCAGGCCGGCAGGCAGGCCGGCAGGCAGGCCGGCAGGCAGGCCGGCAGGCAGGCCGGCAGGCAGGCAGGTAGGGGGTGAGCAGGCAGGCAGGCAGGCTGGCAGGCAGGCAGGCAGGCAGGCAGGCAAGCAGGGAGGCCAGTAGGCAGGCAGACAGGCAGGCAGGCAGGCCGGCAGGTAGGTGGGTGAGCAGGCAGGCAGGCAGGCTGGCAGGCAGGCAGGCTGGCAGGCAGGCAGGCAGGCAGGGAGGCCAGTAGGCAGGCAGGGAGGCAGACAGCCAGGCAGGCAGGCAGGTGGGCAGGGGGCAGGTAGGTGGATTGGCAGGTTGGTAGGTAGGCAGGCTGGCAGGCAGGCAGGTGGGCAGGGAGGCAGGTGGGCAAGCAGTAAGGGTAGGCAGGCGGATGGGTAGCCAGGCTGGCAAGCAGGCAGGTAGCCAGGCTGGCAGGCAGGCTGGCAGGGGGGTAGGTGGGCGTTCAGGCAGTTCAGCCGTTATCTGCAGTTATCTCTAGAGAAAATTCATTCAAACGAATATAATGTAAATCTTGTATGGCCGATTACAGATCGATCTTCCAGAATTTGACGACAACATCCGATTCCCTGAGGTCTTGCAAGGAAACCTAAGGTACACGACTACACGTCATACGCCAGAGTAGCTAGCGCTGCAGTTACGCAGATGTAGATGCAGAAGACGTGCACACAGTCATGCTAGCTATGCGAGTCGTGTAAAGTGTCTTGTGGCGACAACGGACTGTTGATGACAATGTTATGACAATGGAACAAGTCATAAGTGTCTTGTGGCGGTTGACAAACGTTTTACCCCGTGTGTCTATTTCTCCTGTTTTTCTGTCACACAACAAAGGGCACGAGAAATACATTGGTGAGTATTTGCCACTGACTGATTGATTACCGGCGAGTGTATCAGAGCAATGAGATGGAGAAATAGAATGTGAATCTCATGGGCTTGTCGTCAGAAAACATCCCAAGAAGTTACGATTATCTCGAATCTATAATGCGAAAACCTTTTCCACTTCGCGTCAAACGTTTCGCTTCAAAAATCAGTTTAGTCGTATCATGTCATAAGTATTTATAATGTCTCTGATGGCAGGCTTTTGGTCTTGTAAAGTTTATTGGTGCAGTGTCGCATGCACTTGCATGTCTGTGAGCGGTGGACGTGTAAGTTGATTGTTCCGTTTTTTGCGTTTGTCTCAGCGAGACGCGAGAGTTTGCGAGTCTGGACCCTCCGGAGCAACACCAGATCGAGGAAATCCTGGACAAAGACATTCTAACGCAGTAAGAACAACGCATCTCTCACACACACGCGAGTGTCACTGATTAGAATGTCACGTAAATGTCCCCGCAGATGGCGCTACAATCACACTGCATGCTAAGTATGTTTAAAAGTGTGATGTGAGTTTGCTTGATAAGTTAGTGAGCTTATCGTGAAAGCTACTGGAACATTCTGCCTAGAAACCGTACGTGCTGTTGGCTATTTCTAACGATTGCTCTGAACCAGACATTTTTCCCCAAAACCATTGCTTGAAAATACGTTCGAAGAAACTTTCTAGTTGATGTTTGTATCGAAATATTATTGAATTTACTGTTTATCAGAGTATTATTTCGAACTTTTGCGATCGTTTAAACAACTGTAGCATCTGGCGTAGACATGGCCTTTATCCTCCTGCCTCGTGACCTATTCGCCTGACCTCGTGACCTCTGACGTCGTGACCTCTGACCTCGTGGCAGGTGCACCCGCGAGGAGCGCGACCTGCTGTGGGAGAAGCGTAACTACATGTACGGCATCGGTGGCGCCCTCCCGCGGCTGCTGCGCGCGGCGCACGGCTGGGACTGGGCGTGCTTGCCGGACATCTACTGCATGCTGCGGTACTGGGAGGTCTACCACCCGCTACAGCCGACCGAGGCGCTGCAGTTCCTGCTGCCACAGTGAGTACCAGACGACGCGGTCACCGTGGCAACGGTTTCGTCTGCTCGTGAGTTAATGGTAGGGGTGGGACGCTGCAGTTCCTGCTGCCACAGTGAGTACCGGACGACGCGGTCACCGTGGCAACAAACACAATATCGCCTGCTTCATCCCGCAAACCATACCTGCTACCTGAACCTAATCATCGAATAATTATCGCGTTATCCTCTTCTAATTACCCGCAGGTACGTCAACCCGCACACCTCACCCGTTAATAATAATAATAATTATTATTATTTCGAGTCTCCTCGGTTATTATTCCTTTCTGTAGCTCATGCCAGACAGGGATCGCCACTCCTCTCTGTCTGCCAACAGCGCTATATACGGCTATAGCGAATGGCACTGGATGGCACTGAGGGTGGTCACAGCCAGAGTTTGTTTTTGCGCCCTCAGTGGTTCTTTTACGTCCCCATTGGCTTTTCGTATTACTGGAGACGGGACCGCCATTTTACGTGGTCATCCAAGCCACGGGAGATTCACAGTCTCCAATGTTCAGAGCCAGGTTTTTACACCTTGAGAAAATTCACTGCCCCGGCCGGGGAGCGAATTTTTTTCCCCCACACGTTATATCCATTGGGCTTGATATACGCATATCAACTTCCGCATCAGACTTTCCGTATATCAAGGAATGATGCAAAAATCCTAACCTTAACCCTAACACTAACTATAAACCGAATCAGCTTATATACTATCTATGGTATCTCAAACACTATCTATGGTGTGGTCAAATCAAAGCAGCCAATCAGAGGAGCCCAATGGATATAACGTGTAGGGAAACAAGATTTGCGGCCGGGGGTGGAACTCACAGCCTTCAGTGGACAGTACACGTGGCCTAACCACTAGGCCACGAAGGCATCTCAACCCACACACATCACCGGTTACCCGTCTCCTAATCGTTATCTCGTTACACCCGGCAGGTACATCGACGCGCAGGTGCGACGCACCGCGCTCGCGTGGCTGCGCGGCATGTCGAGCGATGAGGTGTGTGACTACCTGCCCCAGCTCGTGCAGGCTCTGCGCTTCGAGCGCACCGAGGATTCCGCACTCGCCTGCTTCCTGCTAGAGCGATCCCTGTCCAGCATACGCGTCGCACACCACCTCTACTGGTGAGAGAGGGAGGGAGGGAGGGAGAGAGGGAGGAGAGAGGGAGAGACAGAGAGCGAGGGAGGAGAGAGAGAGAGAGAGAGAGAGAGAGAGAGAGAGAGAGAGAGAGAGAGAGAGAGAGAGAGAGACGACGACGAACGACGAACGAGAGAGAGAGAGAGAGAGAGAGAGAGAGAGAGAGCTGATTTAGGGTTTAAGGTTTAGGGCTAGGGGTTAAGGTTATTGGGCTCAGGGTTAGAGTTAGTGTTAGCACGCTAGGGTTAGGAGTTGGGGTTGGGTTAAAGGGGACTGTATGTCAGGCTTCCGAGGCCAACTAGCTGAAGCAACTGGTTTCAGCATACTGGGAAGGCGACTCGCAGGTACACGTACCTGCTTGTTGCCAGTGGTGACGCAGAGGAAGGTGATCAGTTTCAGGTCCAGACCCTCGGCAAGCCAGATCTTATCCATGACTCGCACGAGCTGTAGCGTGAGCATGTCCTGTCTCAGATCATCACCAGCCTGGTGGAGGAGAGGCCAGAGGAATCCATATTATAGGAGCATTACTGGCCTGCATACATCACCATTCATCATATTCATCGGCAGAAAGCATGCTTCTTGCATTACGATATGCGAAGGGCATACCGATATTAATAGCATTCTTCTTCATTACCATTATCATCATCATCTTCATCACTATTATCATCATCATCATTTTTATCACTATTAGCAACATCCTTATCATCAGCAACAATTATCGTTATCACCATTACCAGCATCGTTATCATTATCAGCAGCATCTTCTTCGTCATCAGCATCCCCAGCAGCAATGAAAGCAACATCAGCATCATAATAACAGCAATCACGATCGTACCTTGACTATGACGTGTATTGGTGGCGCGCTCTCCTCCGTGCTCTGAAACGCGATCTTCAGAGGAAGCGTGAAGGAGTTGAAATAAAAACATTGCTGAAAAAAACGATCATTTTTAAAATACACATCTTCCTCACAACACACCTGTCTCATCGCCAACTCCAAAGATTCGTTAGTGAAACCTACGTGGCTAACTCTGATGCGCTTTCCATACGGCGGGATAAACGCCCAGATGAAAGGTCGAAACACCCTTAGCGGAGCTACAGTTATGCCGCGCTTGCAGAAGCGGGGCTTAAAGTCGTGCAGCAGTATATAAACGACATTATCCGAGCTGAAGTTATCCGCGTTCAGAAGCGGCTAAAGTCGACATGACAGTATAAAACGACTTATCGAGCTGAAGTTATCCGCTTCAGAAGCGGGCTAAAGTCGTGCTACTTAGTATAAAAGCGACTTATCCGAGCTGAAGTTATCGCCGCTTCAGAAGCGGGCTAAAGTCGTGCGCAGTATAAAAACGACTTATCGAGCTGACGTTTATCCCTTCAGAAAGGCGGGCTAAAGTCGTGCGCAGTAATGAACCGACTATCCCGAGCTGAAGTTATCGCTTCAGAGCGGCTTAGACAGTGCGTGCGCAGTATGAAACGACTATGCCGAGCTAAAGGTTTATCCCCCGCTCTCAGCAACGCCGGGCTCCAGTCGTGCCACAGTCATCACAACACCACTTATCCGAGCTGAAGTTATTTCGCCGCTTGCAGAAGCGGGCTATAAGTCGTGCACAGTAATAAAACGACTTTATCCGAGCTGAAGTTATCCCGCTTCAGAGGCGGGCTTAAAGTCGTGCGCAGTATGAAAGGGGGGAGCTTATGCGCCGAGCTAGAAGTTTATCCGCGCTTCCAGAAGCGGGCTAAAGTCGTGCGCAGTATGAAACGAGCCTTATCCGGAGCTGAAGTTATCCCAGCTATCAGAAGCGGGCTAAAGTCGTGCGCAGTGATGAACGATCGTATCCGAGCAAAGTTAATCCGCGCTTCAGACAGCGGGGGCTTAAAGTCGTTCGCAGTATGAAAGCGGCTGAGAGAGCTAAACATAAGCACTGGCAGTGGATTATCAGTGGATGGTAAACGTTCTGGCTGGTGGCTTGTGGCACTGCTCATACTTCTATATTTTTTTTTAATTTTTTTTTTATTGTCATAAAAACAGTTACAATTGTAGACATAACATTGCATTTCTGGCATTTCCAGTATACAATACAAACAAACTTTATTCATGAGATACACTATACATTACCATTGACATTAGAAGTATACATTACAGTTTACTAACCTTGATACGATGATGCAATTTATGTAACAAGGCGACACA